CTATATTTTTACTATTTCTTAGTTGTTACTATATTATTCATTTCAATTCTTCAAAACTAAAAATTAATTAAAGTAAATAAATAATTTGTTAAAAATTAACTAAAAAATCTTAAAAAAATTTAAAAAATCATCAAAGAATTTATATAAAAAAAGCTTTTAAGTTGATTTTTTTGGTTTATACTCACTTCAAACATGATTTTTTAACTTTTAAATTTAACAAATAAAATTTCAAACCTTTTAACACCTACCCCACCCTGAATTATAACTTCTGTTAGTTATATTTTATTGTAGATTTTGGTGCCCACGGCCCACCCCTAAATCTAGAGAGGCCTCTGTCGGTGCACGTTTCAGTGATTGTCCGCTAGAACCGGAAGCACCATGGCTCTACCCATTCATAGACGCCGTCAATGGCCGCCGGTTGAGCATTCCCCACTACTACGCCGATTGGCGGGAAACTCCTAGTCTCTCGAGAAGTGTGAGCGCAAGTTCCCACGGCTGTTAATGTCGGCGTAACGAGTCCGTCATGTCAAATTGTGGAGTTTGATAGATTTGATCCTTTTTTAATTTCTGTTCTAGAATATTCTCGCTGCGTCGCGAGGCGAGGCACAGAAAGCCAGAGACGGAGCGGTTTAGCAGTCAGTTTTATTTCTCGTTCGATAGTGGATGTCCAATTCGTACGGTCACTGTCCCTCTGCGTTGCAGCCGTGCCGTATCCTGAAATTATTGTGCTCAAAATGAAAAAAAAAAAAATAAAGAAAATATAATAATTTTGAACAAGACTCGGAGGCCCAAAAATAGGGGAAAAAAAAGGACTCTGTATAATTAAACCCTAATAGTATATTTCGATAAAAGAAAATAGAAGATAAATTAAAAAAATTATTTAGTTATCAAGAAAATTAGAAGAGAGGAGAGAGAAGAAGTTATTTTATTTTATTTTATTTTTTAATTTAATTTAATTATTTATCTTAAAAAAAAAAAAGAATAGAGAAAAAAATTTCCTCTTTCCTCATTTTCCCTTAACCTCCCTTTCTTCTCTTTAATTTAAATATAAGAGAAATATATTTTTATTAAAATTTTAAAAATAAAAAATTTAAAAAAATATAATAAATAATTATATTAAAACCATTACAGCATATTGGTCTAAAACAAAAATAAAAAAGAATAGAGAAAAAAATTTCCTCTTTCCTCATTTTCCCTTAACCTCCCTTTCTTCTCTTTAATTTAAATATAAGAGAAATATAT